AATCTATTAAACCTGATCAAATTATATAACAAAAACTCGCATGGATCATCTTCTAGTTATCAATATAGAACAAATTACAGCGCAGAGAAAATAAACATATTATAATTTATAAGTTTACATATAAACCCTAAAAGACATTTTTCTTTACATTTAAAAAGGTTTTTCAAGAATCATGAATCAATAAAGATAAAAGACTTTCCGAAACTTATACCTCAACTCAAGCACTTAAACCGGTCATGTCAACATACGACTTCCGCAGCGACTGTACCGGTTTTGATCTACAAAACACAGCTATTGACTAGTAAACCGGTCTGAGACACGACTGGAACCGGTTTAGTTCTGGTACTATGATAGAAGCATCACAAGAACCATAGACAAGAAAAGTATCACCAAACGTTTCACCTCTTCATTGTAGAGACCTGAGAGAGATCAAAAAGAGAATACACATTTCAGATTTCTCAAAAGAACCGATAAGTTTTTCATTCTTCTTTTTTGCGGAATGTGAGACAGGAAAACTTACCGGGTTGCGAAGAGGCAGCAGCTGGAAGAGCTGGGATTCTAACAGCTGCGAAGCAGAAAAAACAACAACTGCAAGTTAAAAGAAAAAAGAGAGGAAAATGTCGGGAATCGAGAAGATAAATACAGTAACCACATACGTTTTTTACAGGTAGAGGCTGAGGATTGAGAAGAATCAGGCCATGGAGCGGGAATGTTGTCATTGAGATCACAAGTAAAGCTTATTCCCGAGTCTTTATCGAATATCGCATCAGATGGTAAGCTTGGTAATAGACAACCAGATTCTTCAAACCAAAAAGAACAAAATATTCAAGTTAACAAAATGGTTTCAGGCTTTCGATACAATGAATATATAAATAAAAATCGAGGAAATAATCACACCTTGGTTTCCAACTGTTTGATCCAACCATAATGCATCATCCAGCACAAAAAAGTAATCAAAACGGGTTAAGAATTTCGATTGAAACATACGGAGTGATGAAAAAGAACAAAGAGAAGTTGAGGTCTAAAGTAGAAACCTTGAAGAGAGAAGTCCTTGAGACTTATATGACAAACGCTGAAGATATTTTTAGTGATGTTTAGCTTCTGCAGCTTTGTTCCAAGGCTGGTTGCACAATCTAAAGCTTGCAAATTGGTTATAAGTGTTTGCTTTTGCAAGTGAGATACGTAACTCTCCATTGCACGGCAACAACCCGTTTGGTTACTCAACTCGTTGCTGCAGTTACCACCGATATGTCTCATGTGCGGAAAGACAAGAGGGCAGACTGAAACAAATAGGCACAAAAATGTGAAATGTTCACCCAAAGTCAAAAGTTATATGTTAAACCGGATTTAATTTTACCTCTATTGATTTTGCAGTTCGCTAACCCTCTGAGGGTTTCCTTAGCCCGAGAAGAATCGAGTTTAGTCGCGAGCCAGCGGTTTACTATGTTCTTGCAATCATTGATCCTCTCCGAATTATCGGTTAAAGGTTCTGATGCTTTCATAGTTATATTTGTAGCTGCATCGAGTATTGCATTTTGGCAAGTCTGTTCGCAACATTCCTTCACAGGATCGACTTTTTCACAAGCCAAAAGAAGCTTCGATGTATCCACCGTGCTTTCAAACTCATCGACATTGATCACAGGGCACGAAGAAGCGGTGAGATTCGACGAGTGAATAGAACATATCCTCCCAAGCTGACTCGAAGCGCCTTTGCCTACCAAGATTTGCTCTAAATCCAAAAGACAGTGCTTAGACTGGGTTCTGTTTAAGGCAAGCAAACCTGTTTCTTCACTCGCTTTCCCGAGAATGATCGTGAGAGAAGCATCTAGCTGAGGACAACACATCACATTGGCTAACAATGGGGCAAACACAGTCCAACAGTTGTGTGAAGTTGTCTGAATCAAACTCTCGGAAGCAGTGAAATTTAGCGAGCAAAGCCCTGTGGATATCCAAAACAAACTGATACCGGTTAGTAATAGAGTTTCTTCAGGTCATATAGATACCAAAGGCAATTACAATAGAGAAATGTGAGCAAAACAAGAACATACCTGATAGTTTTGGCATGGTACTGTTTATGTATGGAACCATTGGAGAAGGTGCAATGAAAGGAAGAAATGGTTGAGGAGATGTATCTGGTGATATCTCAGGTAAGAACTCCTGAGATGAACCTAAACCACACAAAAAAAAAGAAACCAAAATCAGCACTTTTTATATAGAATTTGTGTTGGTAAACCTAAGATATCTATAAACCCTAATAATCTAAGAACCCTAAACACTGAGAAGCATCAAAACCCCAACTTTACTCAACATTTCACCAGAAATTCGCTTAATTTATAAAGAAAGAGTGTAAATTTACAATGACCCATCACAATAAACACGAAGATTGTTCCAAAACAAACGAAATCTGATTCAAATTAAGCTACAAAAAAAAGCGAACTTTACCAAAATAGAAAAGAGAATCCATAACCCTTTTCTACCCTAAAACCCCAATTGGAGTAAGAAATCAAAACTCACATAGAGAGAAGAGAAACATTGATTGAAGAACCACGAACAAACACATCTCAAATTCCGCCCTTCTCGTCATTTTCTCTCTTCCTCGAGCCCCAAAAAACCAATACTTGAACACACACAGAAGAAAAAGGAGAGATTTTTGCACAGTTTATGGTCTCTTTCAAAAGCTTAGGAGTTTGGACAAGTTTGGACTTTTTTAAGATTCTCTGTCTCTTTCCCACTAGTGAAAGTCCCCCCGAGAACACAGAAGGAAAGAAGAAGAGAAAGACGTTTCTCTGCGATTTCGACACCAAAAACTCGGTAGAAAAGATAGACACAAACAAAAATAAAACAGCTG